AAGTGAAATTGATTCAAGTTTGGGGTCTAATAAATTGAAAAAACTTCAAAAAATAGGAGAAAACAATACGCGATGGTGGTCGCGAGAAAAAGCACTGTTTTGGATTTTTGAAGGTGATAAATGTCTTTTTCCTACAGTTGTAAGTGCTTTGCATCATACTTCTATTTCTAGAAATTTTGAACCTAAAGTTTGTTCAGAAGCATCTTCTTTATTAGATAATTTATGTAATTTTAAAATAATTCTCACAGCTCATATATTTTTGAATATCTTTAAAATTATTGGGCCAACGTCACGTTATCTTCAGACAAGAGGTATGGATTTATTATCAGCTTGGAGTATGGTAGATTCTGTTAAACAAGAAATTGGACATTCAACCTTTGACAATATTTTAGAAAATTCTGTACATTTTTCCAACAATATGAATGACTTACTTAATAGTATGAATCTTCCGGATGATTTATTAGTACCAAGTACTTTACCTATTACTAGACAAAGCAGAAAAAAAAGAATGTATGATGAGCTATGTGCAGACGAAACACCAGAGTTACCATTAGACAAGTTCAGAGTTGAAACTTATCAATCAATAGTTGATCACATTAATAATATTTTAATGAACGCTTCACCGACAACAATCAATTGATAGCGGATGTTCAATACTTGATACCTAAAAATTTTAAACAAATTGAACAAATGCCAAACACAGCTTTAAAACACTTGGCCAATTTAGCAAATTTAGACATTTATCACCATCAAAAATCCAAAACAGTGCTTTTTCTCGCGACCACCATCGCGTATTGTTTTCTCCTATTTTTTGAAGTTTTTTCAATTTATTAGACCCCAAACTTGAATCAATTTCACTTAACCATATGTGCATACGTTTATACAACTTTGCTTAGAACTAAATAATTTTTCTAAAATGTATCCCAAGTTAAAAATGTCTACAACAGAAAGAACTAAACAAATATACCGTCAATTTGATACTGATTCAGATGAAAACACAGATAATGATAAAGAAAATATGAACTATGATGCAGCATTTTCTTGTGAGTAAAATTGTGCTTATATATTGTTCTATATATAATTTAAAATATTATTTTGACTGAACTTTATGTTGGATTTTAGGTAACAACAAAAACAGCATACATGATACTAACAATTGTTTACAATGTGTATACAAACTTGTATACAATTTAAACATGCATGTCTCGGCTTATATTCAACTATGTGCTTCATATGAGTTTTTTCTTACTTTGTCAGTCACCGAAGTCAACTGCGAAAGGTCATTCAGCAAACTTAAGCTTGTTAAAACAAGATTCAGTGCCAATATAAGTCAAGATAATTTAGAAGCACTCTTAATTATGAGTGTTGAAAAACAATTACTCAATGAAATTTCAAATGTCATTGAATATTTAAAAGCTAGTTCTACAGTAATGACTAAAGTGTTTTCAATATAAAATTGTCATTTTAGTTTTGTTTTATATAATTTAAGTATTTTCTTTATACGGTAGTATAATGGTTAATTAAATTGCAATCTCTGTTAAATTAAGGCAAAAGTAAACGAGTAAAAGCTAAAAGATCATACTGCCACGGCGATCAATGCGCTCCCATATCCCCTACACACACACACACACACACACACACACACACACACACACACACACACACACACACACACACACACACACACAGAGTGTAGACACGTGACTTTGAAAATTTTGCCATTATGAGAGGATAAAAATGTAAACAAAGTCGATATAAAAAAAAATTATTATGCAGTTATTTAAATGTATTTTAATTGTGAGCGATTTTTTACATATAAAACATTATAAAATATTATTTATATTACATAATAGGTGTTATATATATTAAGTATTGATATGGTTTCTTCTTGTGGAGTGTTGGGTTCCTCATTAACTAAAAAAAAGCAACCATATATAAGATTTTTTAGACTTCCTGGAATTATTAATTATTAATTCCTTCCTGGAATCATTAATTATGACGAAGAGTCAAACGCTCCCTTTCAGAGTAACGTAGAAGGAAATGGTTAGCTTCATTAAACAGAACTAATTTATCTCAAAAGCAGTTGTCAACAATTGGTTCGACTTTACTTGTTTGTGGAAAACACTTTATCAACGGTTAGATACTGTATATAAATTTTGAAAATAGTTTGTTTAAATTTTAAATAAAATCAGTACAAAAGCTGTTCTAGTGACTTCTTTATTATTTATGTTGTGTATATTTACTTACGTATTATGTATTTTAGGAAAACCAGCAAAACTATTTGAAAAAGATTTTGTAGATTGGGTTCCAAAACTTTATATGAGTAGAGAAAGAGGGTTGATGTCATTAAAATTAAAAGATGATTTAGAATTAAAAGCAGATAGATTAAAACGACGTAAAGAAAGAAAAACAATGCAAATTTATCAAGTTATTGATAATAAAAGAAGTAAATTTGACAAAGGTACTTTTTAGTTAATAAGTTGTTAAGGAAACTGATAAATCAAATTTCATTTTGTTTTACTTTAGAAAGTGCCAATTTTTTTTTGTTTGTTTGCTATTGTTTTAGATGTTGAAGAAGTTGAAATCAATTTATTTCAAGAAAGTTCGTCAGAAGTCAGTAAAAAAAACATAGTTGATAAATTGAATGATGAAATTAGGATGTTAAACGATAAATATGAATCTTTATTTGATCAAAATCAACAAGTTTTAAAAGATACATCAGAAGCATTGATTTCTAAACAACTTTTTAAAAATAATGCTGAAGCAGTCATATACTTCACTAGTTTACCAGATTATAACACCTTATGTGCTGTGGTTGAACTTGTGAAAGATAGTGCAATTACTTTATGTACTCTAAATAGGTTTTGTCAGTTAGTTTTGTGTCTAATGAAACTGCGTTTGGGATCTGGAACAATAGATCTTGCACACCGTTTTCGTGTTTCAAAAACAACTGTCTCAAGATTGTTTCTTCACATGATCAATGTATTTTTCATTAAACTATCACCATTCATTATATGGCCGGAACGGTCAGAAATAATAAAAACTACGCCTTTTACATTTAAAAGGAAATTTGGAGATAAAATTACAAGTATTAATGATTGCTTTGAGATGTTTATTGATAGACCTAGTAACCTAACAGCAAGATGCCTAACATGGTCATCTTATAAACACAACAATACTGCAAAATATTTGATTAGTATAACCCCACAAGGCACAATAAGTTTTATTTCAAAAGGATGGGGCGGTAGAACAAGTGACGGAAAACTGTGGTTATTTGAATAAGCTTGAATAACAGTGTCCCCATAAGTTTGCTTATGGGGACACTGTTATTCAAGATTTTATTGATAAAGGATTTAATATTGATGATATTGTAGGGTCATTCGGAGCTAGGAGCATTCGGAGCAGCTGGAAATTCCTGCTTTTACACGGGGAAAAGATCAGCTTAGTGCTGCTGAAGTTATCGCAACACATCAATTAGCAAACGTTAGAACTCATGTTGAGCGTGTTATTGGTACTTTGCGACAAAAGTTTTCAATTCTCAACAAAAAAATACCAATTGACTATTTGTTTACTAAAGAAGGAGAATTTCATACAACATTAGACAAAATTGTTCATTCTGCCTGTGCTTTAATTAACTTATGTCCGTCTTTAGTAGCACTTAATTAGCATTTAATTTAAATAACAATTTGACAATATGTTATCATATTAATTTAATAAACATATTTTTCTTAAAATGAACGTAAAACAACTTTATCTATATAAGTAAATATAATATAAGAAAAAATTGAATATATATATATATATATATATATATATATATATATATATATATATATATATATATATATATATATATATATATATATATATATATATTTATGTAAAATTGTTAATGAAATATAGAGTTATTTGCTTTTGCAGCAAGTTTCTTTTTTACTTTTAAAATGTTTCTTTTTCGTCTGCATTCTGGACAAAACCAATTGCCTTTAGGTATTTTTTTAATTTTCATACATTTCACATGGAGACATCTAATTTTACAATGTATATCAGTACAACTAATCGTATCATCGTCTTTTGAACTGATGTGACAGTAGCAAATCTTATTTTGAAATAATAAGATATTACTTTCAATGTGTTCAGGTTCACTATAAAACTTACAAATTATTTCAAGAAGAATAACCTTTTTAAAAAATTCCTTCGATAGATAAAGAATTTTTTCTATTAAAATTTCATCGCGAGAAATTCTAAAAATTAAAAAGTCCTTCACAGTCCATACAAAAAATCACAGAACTCATATTCAGTAACTAGAAGTTGAGTTTGAACTTGATAATAATATGCATGGTCTTTTTTAAGAAATAATTCACCACTATCTTCTAAATAAAGATAGCTAGTTTTTTTTATTTTCAATTGTATCTTGTAATATGTTGTTTCTAAGGTTGTATGGACATTTAATTTCTGAACATATTTTTCCACAACAAGAACACTCAACAATATCATCTGGTGACGCATCTATAAAACAAAAATCTTTATTAATAAATTAATAAGACTGAATCAAGAGCTTTAAAGTTTTCGTGACATGCAGTCATAAGATTTATATATTTTTCTCTAGCAGTTTTTTCGTGAGAAATTCCCCAATCAGTAGCGATGCTTCAAAATTTTGCAGGACAACATATCTTTTTAATAATAGATAGAGAAGGATTCTCAGTATCAGAATGACAAACATCTTTCATAACAGATGCAGTTATTCAACCACATCGAAATTGGTGCCAAAAACTAGAGCTTGATTGTAATCGTGTCAAACTTTCTATTTGAACTATTTGCTCAGTTGTTAAAGTTAAACTAGGATAAATAGATTCACAATAATAACTCCATGTAATTAGGAGTTTTTTTATCTAATTAATATAAATCGCTCATTAAAGGTACTTTAAGATGATCAGATTCTGTAGAGTATGCATGAGCATATTCAGGGATTATTTTTAAAATAGCTGCCTTTGATTTTGATTTATTAAATTTATTAAAAAATACATTTAGCTCTTGATGTGTTGGCTTTTCAATCGCTGATTTCTTAACTGTAGAACAAACTAATGCAGAAGTACTGCAATCATTTGGGTCAACTTCCAAACTTTTGTTTAATATTCATTTTTTGCTTATGCTTGATCAAAAATCGATTTCACATAAACGCTTTGGTGTTAACTGTGCTGGAGAGTTTGGTGGTAACCAGTAAGATTTGTAATCAGTTACTGTTTTAAATTCTCGCATTTTAACAGTTATGTCAATCCAAAATAGAACTGCAGCAATATGTGTGCATGCTTCAGCAATACCCGCCATGCAATTACAGTGTGCAAATACAATTTTACCACTACATTCTGCAACAATCCATAAATCAAGTGGGGCATCATTAAGGCGTTGTGAATGAAACACCTTAAAATACAAATTATAAAGTATTAAATAGATGCAAACATTTAAAATTATAAAAATGTATGTATATTATTATTATTATTAAGGTTTACAAATTGGATTTGTATAGGCATGAAATGCCTGTCAACCTGTCTTATGATTACTATATAAATATACTAATCATAAATTGTTTTTTCTTCTTTTAGATAATTGTCGAGTTTGTTTTTAAAATTGCTCACGGAA